ATGAACCGAACATAATGCGTAAACGTAGCAATATAAGTGGTAGCTGATCAGAGCTTTTAGGTAAACTATTTTACCCTCGCAAAGAGGTCCCCAAATATCCGTGAAATCCTTCAACTAAACCGTTTGCTTGAGGATGATAGACAGTGATGCGATTGCGTTTGCATCATAGTAATTCAGTGAGACGTTGGAATGGTTGCGATTCAACTCACGATCCGAGGTCGATGGTCATAAAGCAATGGACCCCGGAATTGATGATCCAATCATCTATTAATGCTCCAGCGATAGTCCCGGCAGGAATATCGGAAATGGGCATTGCCTGATGCCGCCGTGTGAAGCGGCTGACACCTAGGAGAAGGTAGGAAAACCGTTAGCTATCAGCAGCGGACTGACTAAGTCTAAGTGAACATGGTTGAAACGGCAGTCTGGTTGGGAGACGGTACTGAGGGGTGCGTGAGGGCGACTAATTACTTTTGAACATAAATATGTCAGACAAGATTTTGTCCATGAACGGATTTATGTTCATATTCGGTCATAGAAACCTTTGAGAGACGAGTTTGCGCGCTTCGTTATTTGTACATCAAAAACTAGTTCGTGCACTGGGTAAGAGATCAGGGGTCTTGGAACGGGAGTCAGGGTCTATATTACCTGGTGCTGTCTGTAGTGGCACGAGTCTGATCTGTAGTGAAGATTAGTCCGGTGATGGAAGTACGGCAGGCTCGACTTTTTGTAGTTGCGTCATACGCTGCTAGTCAATCGTGAGTATCCAGTGGAGTGAGCCGAGTTCCGGACGAGACAACATGTCTGCCATGACATTGAGCTGCAACGAGATATGATGAGTGTCGTTGAGCGGCTGCGAAATTTAATCTAGGTGGCGTATTTCGCAAAGAGACTATCTGTCGTTTTTTCCTTATGGGGAAAACGTTATTGGCTTACGATCTGTGAAGACACAAATATGTCTGCCTTCAAGAATATGGCGGAAATACCGAACAGAAGAGTATATGTCGAGTAACTCTGGACCAAAGGTGCTTTAGCGAGATTCCGCCGGTGGTGTGGGGTGTGGTAACGGTCTAGAACAGTGATATTAGTTAGTGTTCGCTAATCGCCACAAGGTCTGCAATCTGTTGTGTTTTTCTTTGGGACCATGTGAAGTGGTGAAGCCCACATGCCTGTAAACGTCCAAATGATTCCTAAATGGGGCCTGCGTTGGAATTCTTCTTCGGAACTTTTCAATCCTCCGATCGGAGGCGGTTTAAAAGTGGGTAAACGGGGGTTACCTGTGTGCCAGCGTGGTGAACCATGGAATGTCGAGTCTGTCCGCTGAAAATTCGGCCTTACAAGCTCGGGAACTTCACGGAGTAAGCCATGGGAAGTATCATGTGGCGATAGCGCTTTGGGGCAAATTTTCGACGTAATTGTCGGCTTTCCTCCGACCGCTTAGTGATGGCGCGAAGCAGCTTTTGACGGTTTAAGACTACTAATCTTGGATAGCTCTGATGAAGGCTGATGCAAAGGATATCTAGTTTGGTCCAGTTTACATGAGATAAGTTGCACCGTAAAGAAGAGCGAAGATTGAGCTAAAACTGTTTTACAAACCCCATTAATTAGGTCTATGGCGGTGTAGGTTGCGTGGACTTTTTAAAAACCTGAGTTGAAAACCTGTAGCTTCCGGAGTGTATCTGCTCGTCCGGTGCCGAAGATGCCAAATCGTGTGGTTTGATATGATTTTTCAGTGGACATTCCAATCACCTTGTGAGGTATACTAACGGAGCTAATAAGATTGAGGCGGATGAGTGATAACTGTTAATGAACTCCGGAGGTTGGCACGGTAGTCTGTTTTTTCTAGAGCTGATAAATTCTTTCCCTCATAGCACGCTTTTAAAGTGATAAATTAACTTTGACATAATTCAAAAATAAGGATTTAGCCATTGCTACCGAATTGTTTGTCCCCGTAACGTAGCTTGTCTCTTGGGCGTTTTATCATGAATTAAGGTTATGCATTATTTGCAAAGCCTGGTGTCCGGATCTGCATTCGTCAACTCGACTGGGATATTCACCCGAAGCGGCTGGGTATCTTGAAAATGGCGGAACATCTAGCGGGTCACTTATAGTCGGAAGAATTGTAGGGGAACCGTTGAGGCCTCAAATTAAGGGGGTACAGTAAATGCAAAGCAGCATCTTTTCTACCCAAAGTGCTCTGGCACTCTCGGGGGTGGCAACCACATCAGGCCCAACAACATATTCCGACTTGCTCAGTGAGGATACTCTCAGCAGGACAAAACGTATTCATACGAACCGCGGAAGCTGGAAATCTCTAAACATTCGTGATTCATGATAGCAGTGAAATTCCAAGGGTTGAACAGTGTGGACGCTCTGCCACCGTGACGCAAGCGTTACAACTTTCCAGTGGGTGCGGCTAGATCCCCTTGATGCATTGTGAGATTTTATGCCCTTGGCTAGATAAAATATTTGTCCGGCTGCACTTGACACTATCGTTTGTATTCTAATTCACAGCCCATCTAGGATGGCTCGTAAAACCTATTCTCCTTATTTTTCTAACCCAATGTAGCTCCTGCTTACAGTTTCCTAATCATTATCGGCATCTGCCCGGAATCCGTCATGTTTCTTTACCTCGTTTTAGGGCTTTGAGAAAAACAGCGACATGCTTCATTCATCATGTACGATAGTGTGCTTCCAAGAAAAACTTTTCATGGGTATGATTCCACTAATGTAGCGGCATGTTCATAATTTCGCTGGCTTGCGACAGACCCCGGAAGACACTTTGGCCTGATTACCTGACATTTGAGCATTTCCTGTTAATTTGTGTCGTGTCCTGACTGCTCTCACAGCCTTAAGGCGACAAGTCTCCCTCCGAAATTTGGAACCTGCCTGCAAAGGCGTTCGTTGTGCGTCGTGAAAACGAATTAGAGAAAACTACGAGGTTTCTTTCCCGAAGCGGCCTGGATATCCGGCTTGCTTAAAGTGTGTCGTAATAATTTCAGAAGTAAAAATGCCCGGTAGACATGTCGCTCATCGGATGATGAGGCAGATTCTCATTCAATACTTGCATTAACCTTCATGGACTTGTGCGCAGCACACACCAGTGAGTCTTGAGCCCGTCAAGCACAACGTTTAATTGAAAATTACGGAATGCTTAACGGCGATTGAGTGCTTTCAGTTGACTGTCACGGGTAGCGTTACCGATCACGGCTCTTTAGTTTTACTAGTTCACCTGAAAACCCTGAAACGCACCCCAGAAAGTTTCCACTTCTGAGTAGGTCTTACCTCCTTTTGGCCATGGTATTGCGTGAAAATTTCAAACCGAACCCATCGGTGCGCGACGGGCATTGATGAAACCCTCCAGCGAGGAAACCCAAGGAAAGTCCAAACAAAGTCACATTTTTTGATAGCTTTTGCGATAAACAACTGTCTCCCATAAGGCACTGCCATCTCCAAGGCTATGCTGGAATTGCATTGGATCCACGGAATTCTAAGACTCATGGATTACTGCATAGGACCGCGGCTTTTGTGCATTCTTCCATGTTCGGATAAGTTCTTCATTTTAGCGACTTCCGTTTGTACGAAAGGTACATGAGGAAAGGAACGAGGGAGTGAACTATAAGTTCGCATCGCCGAGCAATAAGCTTATCAGCGCGAACACATGGTGGAGCAATTTAAATGCCTTTAGCAGGGTTCTTTGTCAGCGCGAACTTCCGTTAGATGAAGTGTAAGCCCGAGCAAACTGATGAACCGTAAGGTGTTGCTTGTGAGCTTGAATACTTTCTCACGATGTATAAGTCAGGGCGACGGGGAAAACATGTTCGTCGATCCCTGTTCAAACTGGGTGTACGGAACAACTGGGTCCCAACTTGGACGACCATATTACCGGAGGTTGAGCTCCAGCAGCCCAAGACGTATTTTACAATCAAGAGGTTTATTGCCAGCAACTCGTCAGACATTCACAACGAGGGTAATCCCTTCTTCCGTAACGATAGGCAGCTCCACTGACGTATTCGAGAAGCGGTCTAATGTGGGGGCCCCAGAGCAACGCGATGAAGTTGCGCAGTCATTAGTAGAATACCTAATACCTTTGAAGCTGCTTTTCCATAGTTGAGCGAGAATCGCATGTTTGGAGGGAGCAGGATATATAATTTTTGAAATATTCACCCTCGTAGTGTCTTCTGGTGCATTCTTAGTATGCACGACAAAGACGTTCGCTGTCTCCTCCGAATGATATATAGACGTATCTTTCGTCATTCAGACGAACGTGCCAGTCCACTGATCATACATCTTGAGCGCTTACACTCATTCAGAAGACAATGGCGTCGGAATTCCAGGATTTCATGTAGTCCGCTGGAGGTACAATTCGACTTGACCGTGCATTTGGAAGTAAGTTCACACGGACAAGAACGAGGCATGTTTCTAAAACGACTAAAACGAGGCATGTTTCTAAAACGAAACCTTGAGAAACTCCAATAAGGACTTTCTCAGAAGAAAAAAGGCTAATTGGCTTCCACTGGGATTGTTACACACTATAAAGTGCCTTAATTTAGCATAAGATCTTTCATTGAATCCCAGAAAGCTCAATGCACGTAGCAACCGCGCTGAGAACGTAAAGAGTAGTGCTACACCCTTTTTTCCACTTGTGCCTTTCAGGTGAGCGACAGCCACTGACCGGCATGAACAAAATCAACCCGGGAAACTTGGGCAAAAGCCTCGATCCTGTGTATCAATCCGTGAATTCGTGAATCCGTGCACAGCGTTGACATACTTAATTTCGAAAGCCGAGGTCGCAAAAAGCAACGCTACATTTTTTTTTAAATTTAACTTCTAAAAGAAACCTGGCCACCGAAACTCCAGGAAAAATATACGATCGCCAGAATACTGTTCACCATCGTATGACATAATGAACTGTGTACAGGCTGAAGAGTTTAAGTGTGCTAATCTCAGGTGCGGCCACTCGAATTAGTTTCGTTACTCAGGCGTGGTTTGCCTCTTGATAGCCTCGCTACACAATGAGTAGGGTCCCGAAAGTGTTCGGAAAGACTTATACGACCCCTCGTCGGCCGTTCGAGAAGGAGCGTTTAGATCAGGAACTGAAGTTGATAGGTGAATATGGACTTCGAAACAAACGTGAGGTGTGGCGGGTGAAGTATATGCTCGCCAAGATCCGAAAGTCCGCTCGGGAACTTCTGACGCTGGACGAGAAGGACCCTCGAAGACTATTCGGAGGTGAGCCCACCACTTCTGTTTTCGTTTACTTCAAGGTTCCGCTTTACTTCGCCGACTTGTAAGGGTTGGTGTGTTGCCTGAGGATAAAATGAAGCTCGATTTTGTCCTGGGTCTTAAAATAGAAGATTTTCTGGAGCGCCGGTTGCAGACGCTGGTTTTTAAACTGGGACTTGCCAGAAGTATTCACCACGCTCGAGTCTTGATTCGCCAGCGACACATTGGCGTGCGCAAGCAAATGGTAAATTGTCCCGGTTATCTGGTGCGCCTCGACTCTTCTAAGCACATCGATTTCACCCTGAACTCCCCTTATGGAAGCGGCGGACCAGGTAAGATTTGTTCGCACCTTACTATTGCTCCGTTTAGGTCGTGTCAAGAGGAAGAAAATGAGGAAGGCGCAAGGTGGGGATGCCGACAACGGAAGTGAAGAAGAATAAGACATGTTCATAATAAAATTTCCGGATACTCCTGCGTTGTGGCCGCTTTTGCATTCGGTTTGGCAGGTATTCTAAATTTACTTCAGTGTAGGTCAGTTGTCCGAACCGTGACAGTTTACAAGCTCATAGCCAACTCATTTCTTACACGAAAACACAGGATTCGTCATTGGGTCAGCTTATATATGGTCTATTGTGTCCCGCCCACACTGATCACTCGTTCTACCTAGAGAATTCCCGTGGTGGTGAAACTAGTTTACTCTTTCAGAAATGTGCATGGAGCCATCATATTCAGAGCCCGCTTCAATCTCAGAGGTGTCCGACTATGTCTACTAAGGCGTCATTGTGGTGCTGGCGCTGACGAACTTTCACCTGCTCCGTCCAAGAATGGTGGTGAATTCTAGCCTTTTTGCGTTCATCTGGGAGCAGGACACCGCCCCTGACAACTGGGACGAGTTGATAATAATGCCAATTTTTCAAAAAGGGTATCCGCAGTCAATGTAGTAACCACAGATGTGTCAGTTTGACTCATGACGGCTTTCCAAGCCCCTGATTCTTGTTCATATGGTAGGAAGCGAACCCTCAGACCTTATGAATCAAACGGGGTTTTGAAGCCTCGCCAACCACATCTCCACACTGCATCTTGTGTTGGAGCAACGCCACATGTACAGGGGACTCGCTATCTCGGTGTTCCTTGACATTAAGAATGCGTTGAATTTTATTGATTGTTCACTGCTTTGAGCCTCACCTGCCCAACCGGGTATTATCCAGGAATTCGAACCTAATCTGATCCCTACATTCTGTTCGTGCAGGAGCGTGTGGTGAACTCTCGAAGTCCGACAAGGACTTCCCATTCCTCAGTTTCGTCGTTGATTAACTGAGTACCCAGACAAAATGGCGGTCATCTTTGAAAACCAAGGCAAAGCACCGACCACCGTCATGCCATCTTTCGGCATGCGCTCACAATATAAGTGCAGTCATGCTTCGGAACGTGCTTTCTTTGACCAAACCCTCAAGGAGAGTCACTGGAGATTGTGGAGAATGTTACATACCTCAGTAGTTGTATTGGCTTCCGCGGAAGTGCGTCTGATGGAGTCACCGCGCAAATCTCATCGGCCCGGATCACGTCATTTGCAGCGTCAAAGAGGCATAGTTCACGGTCTGAGTGGTAGGGTAAACCGGACTACGGCAATATTTATTTTGTATTTGTGAGACAGCCTCGGCGGAAGGATGATATGAGGCCTATTCAGTTTCCTGTCCACCGATGCCCCAGAAACATCATCATCAAGGACAGCAACATCAATATTGGCACTGATGCTTCACTGCCGTGAAGAGAAAAGAAAAAATGGGTGAGGGTGACCTAGTGCTGGCCTATATCAAGCATTCTTAGGCGCCTACAACTCCAGCCGGTCAATCAGACAGTCTGGAAAGAAACTGACCGCAAGAACGCCACTGACATCGATTAGCCGCCATTTCTTGCAACGTCTCCAGCTAAGCACAGACAGGGTCACGGGGACCCCATCCTGGAAGGCGCACAACACTAACAACACCCAAACTCTTCGTGATCTCTTTCACGCCTTTCTGCCAAGTCATGTGCTGTTCACCTCGCGGTTTGCACCACCCTGAAGGAGGCATGGAGAACAACACTCGTCTCGGTAGACGGTGTTTCGGCATGCTTAGCACATGACCGAGTCATCGTAGACGATGATGCTGGATGTTTTTCTCGGATTAAGGCGCCCACAGAACAACCAAATACCCGTTTTCTAATCACCTCGTTACTAACACGCTGCCGCCATCCGAAACCAGCCACGCTTCTGAGGCATCGGTGGTCGAAAACCTGAAGACGCCTCACATCATCTACCCGAAGAGGCCATGTCTCGCACCCATACA